CAGTCCGGTTTCGGACATGTATAAACCACATTAAATTAGAAATCCTTGTGTGATGAACAGTAGAAGGGTCGAACACTCGAAGTTACGAAGACCCGCTATTCACTCATGGAAACCGTCAACCTAAGCCATGGAAGTTATAGCAGCGAAAGACGTAAACCGCTCTGGATTAGACTTGATATGACAACGAAGCTGTCTTTCACTAAAGTTGGGTGTTGGTTGCGGTGCTTGAACCTCGATGATGGGGACCAAAGCACACTGGTGATAACGTCATTTGCCGCTTGACGATCACTGTACTGTGAGAATATCAAGTGTCTCGATGGTAATCAAACTTATGCATAAGTTTTTTATCACCTGAAGTGTTAAGTCATGCCCATCGCTATTTTCATGTCATATATGTATGTCTACGTGCTATTTGGTATGTCAAAGTCGCATGCAGTAGACAAACAAATAAATATTGCTCACCCTCCTCCGACACTGGTTGGGTTTTTTTGCCTCCGTGATTTTTTTTTCAACTCTTGGTTACTTAGGCATTGAAAGTAATTAACTTCCATAGATTACGCTGGTTGGGGCATGTGTTAGGCATGTCACCAAATAAACTGCCGCGGTGCGCGATGTCTCCCGAGAAAGGTAGTGGGTGTAGTCGAACTAATACCTGGCATGTGGTTATGAAAACATTGACCAGGAAAGTTGGTATTTTTGAGTAGCGTGAGCGGTGGCACCTGTGCATCTACTCATTATCCTCGATTCTATTTGACTCCAGTCTTTTCATTTCTTCTATTCTTTTATCCAAACGGGCCACTACTAGACAACAACCACAAATGCCGCGCACAAGTTTATGATTAACTGTTTTCTAATTGAAATCTGAAAAATAGCCGGTGTTGGTCAAACGCTATGAATCGTGGTTAAATAGGCCTGGACAGTATGCGCGCCTGGATACTTGGATTCTTCCAGTGATGCTTATGTTGTGTTTCGTAAGTATGCACTGAGGGTCCGGCTTCAGTAATCAAACCCTGTACTCCAAGTCAAACCATGTTATCATACTTTATTCGGCCATAAGTTCGGTCACCTAGCTTCTTTTGTCGGCATTGAGTTATGCGCACTTCTGTATTGGATAATCGTAAGCAGCCTCCGACTCAATTTCATTTGACCGCACCTCTCTGCAGTATATCACAAACGTTTTTCTTTTTACTACAGTTGTGTTCTATTTCGTTTGCCCTCCGTGTTCAATTTGAGTAGTGTTCACGCCGCGTCTGGTAAATAAACACAGAATAACGTACAACACACTTCTTTTGAGGCATTTTTCTAGTTACTGTTTATATAGCATTCACTATTTTCCCCGTTCTCTCGCTCTTCATCCTCACTGGATCTGTACTGCAGCCTCCTTTCACCCAACCCTCAATCCGGTTCCGGTTCAAGACCGCTTGGTCAGGGAACCGGGTCACCATCACACAGTCCGGGCGAGGACGATTCAACCATTGCCGGTCCTCAGCTAACTGGCGGTCCGCATCATCCTGGCGTGTACATTACTCCTGCCCCACGAACCCCGACCAACGTCGCAGCAGGTTCCACAACTACATCTGGTCGTGCTGCCACGTTTGCGGCAGCGGTTGCCACTGGAACTTCACCAACAGAAGGTACTGATGCACGATTCTAGGTTTATAGATTTTTACCGGTCTCTTTCGTTTACTCAATTCGCATGCGTTCTAATCTAACGCTGCTGGAACACTCGTTGTCTCTAGCCAACTACTTATAGGGTCTTTTCGCCATAATCTGCAAAACCAGAGACGTCTATTCGACTTAATCCCTATGGATTTATTCAGGCCTCGCCTCCAAGTTGATTCATACACATTAAAGCAGCAACTCACACGGCACATTGCGGTGGGTATGCGTGTTCTGATTAGCGACGAATTTAGTTGGATAATGAATTTTCCGTTGGCAGTTTTACAAAAATACGATGTTTTACCTCAAGGCTACCTTCCTCATTTGCTCCACCCTATCTGCGGAAATTCAAACACCAGCGATAATAAGACAGTCGACAGATGTTATCCGGACACACCTGTGAACTACAGTAACAATGATGTCGTCCGCAGTTAAATGCAAAGATTCACTACCGAAAAGTAGAACTGATCGTAAAGCGGCGCGAGGTGTACCACCTTTCAACTTCACTGAAAGGTCTGGTTGATACCAAAGTGTTTGTTATACACTTCGGTTTATTTCACGTCCATCTTGAAGGTACACGCAATGGACCTCTAAATTAAGCCACGGTCATTCATCGCGTAAAATCACCTTGATAGGTGAAGTAATCGACTGTGTTCGATTCCGGATAATCGAGCTTCAAGGTTGGGTTGGTCGCAATCTATTTTGCATCTTGAAGGCGACAAACAACCCGACCGAAAGTAGCAACAACACAGCTTATTAGTCTGTCAAATGTTTTTCGTCTCATCTACCAACCGTTCGAGCACACAATCGAGGTCTTTGGGGCGTTTCAGACTGGACACTTCCTCCAGCTAGCCATTCGATATTATCACTGTCGTGCTCTTTAAGCAGTTTGCATTAATCAGGTGCAGTCAACTAACTGCTTTGTTATATTCGCTGGTGAATATAATTCAGTGATTGTCACATGAATTTGAGGCGCTGCACATAGATCTACGGAAAATGTCGATCATTCCTTTGTTTTACATCGAGAATTGGCTGAGTGTTTCTGAGATCTCAAGCGTGGTATGGCTCCACTGAGAATTTCTCGTTCGAAGTTCTTGCCTGCAGGTCTGTATAGACCAAGAGTATTTCGTCATGAACTGTGAGCACAGTCACCCCTATAGGTTGATCTTCGACTGAAGCATTGAGTCTTTTGCGAAGGTGCGCGTAAACTTAATCTGTTGGTGTAAAATAAAATGTGATTGGCACAGTTGCAACTTGGACACATCCCGGCGCGAGCAGGGATAAAGAAAATCACCTGGAGAAGATAAGGTGTTGAAGCACACACACATCATCACGACGAGACTGCACCTTGACG